CATTTGATTATATATATAAGTTAATTCATTTTTAAGTTGTCATTTAAAAATATGAAATATATAGTTTATAAGAAAATATTTAATAAGTTAATTATTATTCAATTAGTTCAAAGTAATAAAAGTTTAAATTATCAATTCCTTTAATCCTTTAAAATACAATTATTTTATTAAGATAAATTTTGATATATGATAAATAAGAATAATAAGATAAAAAAATGACATAATAAAACCTAATAAATATAAATTATAAATAAAATAATATTAATTACTACTAAGATTTATGTAAAATATTTAGAAAAAGATAAAGAATAAAAAAAATTAACTTTGTGTTCATCAAATTGATTGAAAAGATTGAAAAAAAAAACAAATTGATGGGAGAGATTAAGGAAATGTGAAAAATGGAAAGGTAAAAGAGAGAATAATGTAATAAATTAATTGATATAAAAGATTAAAAAAGACAAAAAAATTAAAAAATAGGTAGAAGAAAAATAAAAATTGGTGAAATATAAAAAATGACCTTATATGTAATAGAAAAAGAAAAGAAAATATTTTTAAAATATTAATATTTTAAAATTTAAATTTAAATATAAAGTCGAGGCGAGGACGAAGCCGAGGTGGGGATTGCATTACCCATCCCCGCCCCGCCCCGACTTTTTAGAGCGGGGAAAACCTGAACCTGTCCCCGCCCTCGGTCAACTCGGGTTTTCCCCATCAAACTCAGGGCGAGGACGGGTTGGTCCCTACGGAGACGGGTTTAATTGTCATCCCTAGTCCACATTCTTCACGGGAGAGAAGGTCCAATTAATCATTTGGATCATGTCTTTGCGATTAATCCAAAATGTCCTTGTCGAATCTCAACCTCACAACCAAGGTTATGAATAGGGGTGAGGCATTCCCTTACCTTATGACTCTAGTATATTTAGGATGATTGGTCCTTTAAACTGCATGGGCTTGGTTGAAGTAATTATGGCGTGATGTATGTCAATTATGCATTTTCAGAAGAATAATATTGTCGACATACATCAGGGGGAAGCCCTATAAGTGAGTTGCATTCCATGTTCAAGGTATTAATCTTCCTGTCCATTCTAGTAATTTATAAGCTCCATTTTGGAAGGAATCTATTACTCGATATGGATCATTATAATTAGCAACCAACTTTCCTTCTGTTTGATCTTTCTAATCTTCACCAACCTTTCTCCATACTAGGTCTCCTTTTTTAAAACTCTTTCTTTTACTTTTGTGTTATACATTCTTTCAACTCGACATTTGATAGCTTATTGTCGAACATGGGCTAAATTTCTTACCTTATCAACCAGGTCTAATTCTATTTGAATATTTTTACCATTACTTTTCTCATCATAATTTTTCTTTCTCCAAGATTCTTCTACTATTTTGATTGGCATCATAGTAGCAGTACCATAAGTTAATAAAAAATGTGTTTCTTGTGTCGAAAATTTGGGAGTACAATGATACCCCCATAATATACTCGGTATTTCTTCTGCCCAAATCATTATGCTTCGAGTTTATGCTTAAGCTCATTTAAAATGATTTTATTAGCGGTTTTCACCAGTCCATTTGTTTGTGGATGTTCTATCGAGCTTACCAAATATTTCACTATTAATCCTTCCAAAAATTCTTCTAAATTTTTATCAATGAATTGTTTTCCATTATCTGTAATTATGGTACGAGGGATTCCATGTCTACAAATAATATTATTCCATATAAACTTTTGAACTTGTTATGATGTGATTATAGCTAAAGGTTTTGCCTGAGTTCATTTGGTGAAATAATCTATTGCTATAATAAAAAGTTTCACTCGTCCTTTAGTAATGGGTCACGCATATAAAGTACTATGAAGCTCTTCTAGAGGTGCCTTAAATACTAGTTCATACTTTTGGCAGGCTTGACAATTTTTTATGAAATTCTTTGCATCTTGTGTTATAGTGGCCAAAAATATCTTGCTCGGAGAATCCTTACTACCATATTTCTTGCTTGTGAATGTACTCCACATATTCCATTATGTAATTAATTCATTGCATATTCCACTTGGTTCTTATCCAAGCATTTAAGGAGAGGTGTTGGAAATCCTCTTTTAAACAACTCTTCATTTATTAAGATGAAAAAAATTCCATTGTTCTTCTCATTTTCCGAGTTTCTTCCGATTTGCTCATTATAGGAGTCATCCATGTCGATTTAGTTGAATCAATATGGAATATATCATCATAATTGCAATTGTATGCTCTTAGTGTTTCCTTCAATAATATTTTGTGTTGTCTTTATTTCTTCGTACTAGTAGGCTTTGAAAGAATACCAACTCAGTCATTTTACTCTCGAGGTATATGTTGTATTTTGAATCGATCAAAATTTTCTATCAAAGCTTTGACTATTTCATAATACTTTTGTATAGAAGTTTCTTTAGCTTGAAACTTTTCACTTATTTGTCCTATTATAGGTTTTGAATCATTTTTATAATAAAGACATTTTACTCCCATTTCTTTAGTTAATCTTAATCCAACAATTAAGGCTTCATACTCAACTTGATTATTATAAGCTATAAATTCCAAGCACAAGGCTTCCTCAAGTATAATATCATCTGAGCTTTCTAGAATAATCTCTACTCCTCTCTTATTTAAGGAACCATCAACGTATAAAATCCACCAACTAGTTTTTTCTCTTGAGAAAGAAGTTCTAGTAGAAAGTCAACTAAAAATTGTGCCTTCCTTGATCCTCAAATTTCATAAGATATATTAAATTTGGACAATTCAACTGTCCATGCTATCATTTTTTCTTACTAATTCTGGTCTTTGTAATATTTGTTTTACAAGATAATTAGTTTTGACTATTGTTGGATATCTTTGGAAATAGTGCCTCGATTTCCTAGCCGAATTTATTAAGGCTAAAATTAATTTCTCTATGGTGGAATACTTGGTTTCAGCTGGTTGTAAAATCTTGCTAGTGAAATATACAAGATCATTGTTTTCGGCATTCACTAATACCAAACTTATGGCTAAATCCAATGCTGATAAGTATATGAAAAGATGGGTCCTTGGGGTAGGGCTTGATAAAATTTGTAAGGAAGCTATATTGACGTTAATTTCATCATTCCACTCAAATGTTTTGGGTGCCTTTAACAATTTGAAAAATGGTCTTACCTTTTTAGCTAAATTAGGAATAAATCGTGCTAGTGAGACTAATTTTCCATTCAGTCATTCTACTTCCTTGATATTTTTAGGATTTTGCATATTCAAAATGGCTTCACATCAGGGTTTTCTTTTATTCCTCTTTGGGTTATCATAAATCCAAGGATTTTTTTCTCCTCTTACTCCCAACACACATTTTTCTGGGTTCATTCTAATATTGTGCTTTATAACCTTAGCAAAAACTCTTTGTAAATTTGCAGATGATCAATTGTTTTTTTAGGTTTGATAACCATATCATTTACATAAACCTCTATGACATTTCTTATGAGTGTATAAAGTAGTCAGAAGATCAACATATCCCTGAATATAGACCCGTTCTCTTGTAAAACCTACCAAGGGATCAAGATAAGGCTAAATTAAATCATGCAAGAGTCTCGTCTTTGTGTAGGCAGACCAACAAATGATATTTGTTGAGCTTCCTTGATCAATTAATGTCTTCTTTACTTTCCAGTTGACAATATAAATAGTGATTGTCATAGGATCATCTTGTTGAGGATCATGAAAGCTGAAATCTTCATCAGAAAAAGGAATAGGAGGCAATGTCCTTGGTTGTAAGGCTTGGGTTACATTAACATTAGATATGACTCTCAAATGCCATTTTCAAGCTGAACTTGTGCTTCCTCCACCTACAAAGCCACCAGCTGTAGTGTTAATAGTACCTTTGACTTATCCTTCACTCTGATCACCCTGTGGATGATTTGCATTAATTAGGCTGTCCATCTCCTTAGCGATAATCTCTTTCTCAATCCCCATCTCCATATCGGCCTTGTCCTCAACTACGATATCCTCTATTCGACCTATATTCGTTACCATGCTTATAACGTTGGATAAATCTATCTAGGGCCCTGACACGGACAAGGTCTTCTATAACTTGTTAGACTTTCTTGCATTCTTCTGTGCTATGACCGTAATTCTGATGCCACGTAACACACTTAGATCTATTTGCATCTGGTGGTGTACTTACTGGCTTAGGTAAAATGATAAACTCTAGATTACATGCTTCATGTAGAATTGTTTCCACACTAGCATTAAGTGGCGTGAATCTCCTTTATTTTTTTTCATCCTCTCTCTTGTATTTTTATCTGAACCATATCTATGCAATGAGGAACCTTCTTTTTCTTAGAAATCCTTTTCTTCCTTATTTTAGCACCTTACTCCGCTCAACCCAGTCTAGGATTACAAATAGTACAGTCCAATTTAAATAGCACAAACAACACAATCTGATACAATTTGGGAAGTCCAAAAGCAATATAATCACAATAATTAGAATGCATATCTCAACAAAAGAATCCTGGACTAAACCCGAACCAAACCTAATAATCCTATTTGAGCCAAACAAAGTCAGGATCAAACAAATTCGGTCCAACACTAGACAAAATGATTTAAGACCAAACAATACACTCGACAAAACAAATTTAACACCAAACATTCTTAATCTAAACCAAATAGACTCAACATAATACACTCGACAAAACAAATTTAATACCAAACATTCTTAATCTAAACCAAATAGACTCAACATTTCAATTCAAAATAGTCCAGTCAAGAAATAGAATGCAACAATTTAGATTAAAGCCGCACAAATCTTGCATCAAATATGACAAACTAGCCACATATAAAGAGGCTCCATACCCAAGCAAAAAGATCCAAACTCAAGCCAAATGCAAAAATAAAATATCAGGTAGAATGTAAAACAAATCGAATTAAAACAAAAATGGAAGGACTAGATGAAGAGATGAAGTGCAAACCCCTAGTCATGTTCCGAATCACCTCGGATTGGTTCGCGGTGGGATTGGAAGCATGACACGATTGGAGTCGAGGCTGAAGGTGATAGAGGTGGAGGCCCGGTGGCTAGTCATGACGGTTATGATGGAGGTGTGGTGGGACCTGGAGATGCTCATCGTAATGGTGGACCTGGAGGCACAACATGGTGGTTGGCTTCGTAGTGGCTAGGGTCTAGGACTCATGATTTTGGTATGGTGGGTCATGATGGTGGGGGGAGATGCGACAATTCGTGGTGGTTGTAGTTTGGGTGATTCACGGTGGGCCACTAGGTGAGGTTGCGGTGGTGTGCGGAAACATGGGTAGGGGTGTCAAAATAAACTTAACCCCGAAAAATAGATCAGGTTAGGTAAAAAAATTTAATAATATGAAACAATTTTTTGTTGATAAATTATTTTTAAAAAATATTTAAATTTTGTTAAAAGATAAATTATTATATAATGATTTTTTATAATTTTATTTTATTTATATAAATTATAAATTAATTTTAAATAAATAAATGAATTATGTATTAGTTTTTTAAATAAAATTAAACAAAAAAGTATATTTTTTTCCTTAATTCAGCAAGGTCAGGCTAGTGCTAGGCTAGATTGATCGCCCGTTTTGACATGGTGACTTGCGGTGGCTTGTGGGTCCGATGAAGGTGGAGTAGCGTCACAGATTAAAGGGTGGTGCAGTGGTGGTTGGAGCGCGGAGAATCGCACGACAAGGGTGGTTCCCGACTAGTGCGATGGTGGCTGGGCTGGGGGATGTCGAAGTGGTGGCTCAGGTGGAGGAGAGGAAGTTAAGATTTGGGGGGAGGTTGGGACGCTGGTTGAGACACGGGGGTGCGGTGGATGTTGGTTGTGGCTTGGTGGGGTGGAGCAGAGATTTGGAGCTAGTGATTTGTGGTAGGGGGGAGATGGGATTTGGTGAGGCTTGGTGGTATAGATTCGTGGCGCAGTGGCTATTTGGGGCACAGAGGAGGCGAGGAAAGAGGTATGAGGGGCCTATTGCGAGAAGATGGTATAATTAAGAATTTTTATCTTAAAATTCTTAATTATAAATTAAACCCTATTATATATTAAATTCTTAATTTTAAATTAAATAAATTTTATATTTAATTCCAATTTAAAATTAAATATCTAATTCTACTCTAAATTCAAACTTACAGTTTAACAAATATAATTAACTTTGTGACAAGAATGAAAGATGAAATCTCCAATAAGATATGGAAATGTTATAAAAAATACCTCAAAATACTAACAATGACTAAAATAAAAAAAATATATTAATAATACGGGTGTATAACGAAGAAAAATACATCTTTATCGAAAAAAACAACTACGACAATGATAAATAGTAATACAATAAATGATGATATTGACAAAGATAAATTGCATTATAAGTTTTTGTATTATTATTTGAGAAGTTCTAGGATGAAAATAATACTTAGTAATTTTTTTTATAGTAGTTTCTAGTATTTAAATAGATTTTTTTTTACTTTAACTTATATTTTTTTTAATATTTATTCTCTTTTCATACTTTAAATATTTAATATTTTTTCTTCTTATTATTTTTTAAATAATAAGTTAATTATTATATTATATATGATATTTAGTTTTACTAATTCAATATTATACTTCAAAAATGGATACTGATAAATTTATTTCATTTCTTCTATTTTTTTAGAAAATAAAAATAAAAAACAGTTCAAAATGTATTTTCAACAATAAATTAAAAAAAATTGTATATATGTAAATGTGTACACTTCTCACATTGATTCCATTTATGGGTAAACCATGATGGTGTGTTTGAAATGACATTGTGTTCCTTTTAAGGCCAAGATCTCTTGGGAGATTCATTGTGCAATGGAACTTGAGATTCAAGTAAAAGAAACAGCCAATATTTCATGTAAATAAATGATTTTAAAAAAAATGTGATATAACACAAACTGAGGCCCACCCGATTAAAAATGGGCCAAGGCCTGCAAGATGAGTAACCATAAGCCCAAGAATAGACGAGCTGAAAGGACATCACCGTTGCTTTCAGACCCAAATCAAGCAGCAAAGCAACCTTCTTCTCACTCAAATCTCACGCATTCTCTTCTCTTCTCTGCCATTTCCAGCCTTCTCTGTAATGATGACTCTTCTTCATTCCTTGCCCTCCATGTCCAACTTTTCCTCCAACCAGATTCGCTTTCTCCTCACCACCTTGAACGAAGTCAACTTTGACTCCGTTTTCCATCAACTATCTCAGGTCATTTATTCATTCATTCATTCCCCTTCTTCTTCTTGTTCTTCTTCCTCAAAACCCGTCTCATTTTTCACGCTTAATTTATCTGGGTTTCTCTCGAATTTTGTCTTCGTGCTTTGTGCTTGATAAAATTTCTTCCTTTCTCATCTGGGGTTGCGCAAAATCCCTTTTTGGGAATTCAATTTTAAATTGGCTCGACGTGCTTTTGTTTTTTCATGTGCGAGTGTGTTCAATGCTTTAGTTTTGCGACCGTGGTTTGGGTTGTTGAATATGCCGTGTGTGGAAATGATTTTGTGGATTTGTGTAGTTGGGTGTTTCTAGGGTTTATGTTGTTGGTGTTACCTTTTCGAATTTACGTTTCTGCGTATGATGTTGGTCGGTCTCCTTTGGAAATGCGGTTCGGTGTCCTTATCTTCCTGTGACAAGGAGAATAATGAATGTAGCTCTTTATTTCTCATTTTTTTTGCTCACTACTGTGGTTTAGTAAATTGAAGCATATAATGATTTACGAATGGACTTTGGCATTTGTAGAAGGTGATGCTGCGTGTACTGATAAACATTATTTTTGTGATTTTTGAGCTTATGCCTTGCTGAGGAGCCGATAGTGTTGTGGAGGTGATTATAGTGGAAAGGGGAGGCTTTTTGCCTTTGGTTTTTAATCAACTGGCATTCCCGAGAGAAATTAATGGTTTTTAGTGAACATATATAATATGCTAAGGTTCAGTGTCACCGTGATTTGATAATTGTCCAGTGTCTATATTCTTTCTCATGTTGTCCATAATATGACAGGTTTCACTATAGTCCTGTCTTGGTCAGTGCTCTCTATGCATTTTGCTACCCTGTGAATTACCCTAATCTGTAGAATAATTGGCAACTATTGATTTCTGCAGACTTTAGTAAATTTGCTTTGGGGTTCTCTTTAATTTTTAATTAATTCATATTTGGGATCTTCTCTTTATTGGCTGTGCGATTGGATTTGTTGTTGACTTGACTTTGTTCGGCTGACAGTTTACTGAATTTGGAACCACTGGATGCATTTTGCTGCTTCAAACTTGCTTGGATCACTATGGTTATGCCAGAAGAGATACGAAAGATATGCAGCATGAGCCAATTCTTGAGGCAGTCATTAAATACCTCTTGGAGAAACCAAACTTCAGTACAGTGTTTTCAGAGTCGATGAAGAATATGGAAATTAATGAAAGCTTTTTAGGAATTTTTTGCAACGTATTGCAGTTATCTTTATTAGAAAAAATTATCATCAGTCTTGCTTTATCTGATTCCGAGAATCCTGATTTCAGGCTGTGTGGTAAGTATGCAGTTAATTTCCAGTTTTAATTCTTATTGTTTTTCCTTTATTCATTTTGTTTAGTGTTTACATATTTTTGTAATGTTAGTTTCATGGTCATTTCGATGTCATCCTATGGGATCAACATTTTCCTAAGTATAATGTAGTTTAATGTATATATATATATATATATATATATATATATATATATTATTATTATTATTATTTTACCTGAAATATTGCTTGTGTATAGGCAAAAACTTTTGCATGGTTCAGATTGAGGAGTTGTGTGCCAACCCTGGTTCTTTGAGTTTCCATGACCAAATTCACAACATTATCATGTTCCTAAAGCAGTCTGAGGGTCTTTCCAAGCACGTGGATTCCTTTATGCAGATATTATCACTTGTGCAGTTCAAAGACACACCACCTTTTGTCTTGACTCCTTTGCTTCCTGATGAGATGCATGAGGCTGATTTTTTAAGGTGGTAACTTATTCAGCTATCCTTTTTTGTATTTTTTGGGTGATAAAATTGTGGTAAAAAAGTCATGTTAATTACAGATTACTGACTGATTACCATTTATCAAGTTTGCCACTCGTCATTCTGTGAACAATATTGAAAACTTATTTTATTTAATGACGGAGATAAATAGTTAAGTTGAACCCTTTCAGTCATTAATTAAACTTAAAATGTTGGTTAACCACAAGTGGCATTTACTTTTGAATAAAATTGTATGTTTGTTCTATATATTAATAATAAATATTTCAATCATGAGATTATTGACGATCCTCTAGATGTTTAGTTACATGACTGCTTAGTAGCTATCCTTGTATCTTTACAGGAATATGGAGTTGTTCCACGACTGCGGAGAAAATGATTTTGATGCTATTTTGGCAGACATACAGAAGGAAATGGACATGGGTGATATTGTGAAGGAGCTAGGCTATGGATGCACTGTTGATGTCTCACAGTGCAAGGAAATATTTTCACTCTTCTTACCATTAACTGAACAAACATTGTCTAAATTACTTGGTGCTATTGCTTGTACCCATACTGGGTTGGAGGACAACCAAAACACATACTTAAGTTTTCGTGCAGCCCATGGGTACAACGTGTCTGAGTTGCCACCACTGAACTCTTGGAATATTGATGTCTTGATTGATACAGTCAAGCACCTTGTGAGTTTTCTTCAATAAAACATTAAATTTCATCTTGTTATACACTTTTCTGCCAGTTCTTGGAATTGGAATAAATGAAGTAAATGCTCTCATTTTTCTGATACAGGCACCTCATACCAATTGGGTACAGGTCATTGAAAATCTTGATCATGAAGGGTTTTTCCTTCCTAGTGAAGAAGCATTCTCTTTTCTCATGTCTGTTTATAAACATTTCTGTAAGGTATAAAATCAGAACTTGGCAAATACTTTTCCTTGTGCTTAATTGATATATATTCAAACTCTGGCATAAAATTCTGAATGAATGCAAATGAGCTTAGCAGGAACCATTTCCTCTCCATGCCATCTGTGGTTCCGTTTGGAAGAATACTGAGGGTCAGTTGTCTTTCCTTAAATATGCTGTATCAGCGCCACCAGAAATGTTTACCTTTGCTCACTCAGGAAGACAGCTGGTATGATGATCTTCTGCAAATTTTCTGTTTCTTTTTTCCATCCCCATATGTTTATGGCAACAAATTGCTTTGCAGGCATATGCTGATGCAATTAATGGCCACAAGCTTCAAAATGGACATGCAAATCATGCATGGCTGTGTCTTGACCTTTTAGACGTACTCTGCCAGCTAGCTGAGAAGGGTCATGCTAGTATTGTTCAATCAGTCCTTGATTATCCGCTTAAACACTGTCCTGAAATCTTGCTTCTTGGGATGGCACATATTAATGTACAATTTAATGGATTGATATTTGTTATTTCTGAACTGAGTTCCCCTTAATCACCTTTCTTGATAAGAAGTTTATATTTCTTGTTCTTGCAGACTGCCTACAACCTCTTGCAGCAGGAAGTATCTCTAATTGTTTTTCCCATGATAGTAAAAAGTTCTGTAGGCAGTGGGATGATTCTACACCTTTGGCATGTTAATCCGAATTTGGTCTTTAGAGGGATTATTGATTCTCAAAACAATGATGCAGACAGCATTATAAGAATTGTAGACATCTGCCAGGAACTAAAGGTTGTTCTGTTTTAAAGTGTATTTTTCATTTTGATTCTTTTCTTGTGTATAGATTTTACTGTTAGGTATGACGCCCTTTCATATGTGAATTAAACTTTATTAAAATAAGCAGCTCTTACATTCCTTGATTCCTTCTAGTTACCTTGCAATAAGCTTGTGGTTTTTGTCTTCATGAACACTGATCTCATGTTTTTGTTATTGGTTTTTTTGCCATTTTTAATCTATCATATTTGTCTTGCAGATTCTATCATCTGTGGTGGAAATCATTCCTTCTTATTATAGTATAAGGTTAGCAGCTGTTGCATCAAGAAAAGAATTCCTTGACCTTGAAAAGTGGTTGAGTAGCAACTTAATTACGTACAAGGAAACCTTTTTTGAGGTAATAATGCCTTCCTTTATTACTTGATTTCTAAATTTAAAGACGGAGGTGCTATATTATGCATTCTGTTGGTCTTGTTCATAGTATTTTTAGTTGTACTTCTCTGAATTTATTGTAGCAGAGAAGTGGCTGACATTATTAGTCTTACTCTGCAGGAGTGTCTCAAGTTCGTAAAGGATGCCCATTTTGGTGGATCACAGAACCTTTCTGGCAAATCTTTTCATCCATCTGGTGCTGTTCTGAGTCTATATGCTGACACCACTGCTACTGTCTTGAAGGTTATTCTTCAATCATTTGTTTCGCTGCCTCTCCTATAGCCTCATTTGACTTTCATTTTTTCTGTGGTATCTGTCCTTTTTTGACTGCAGGTTCTTAAATCTCATAATGACTTGGTTGCCACTAGACAACTATCAGAGGAGATGGAGAGGCTGCATATATCTATTATAGATTCAAATTCAAGGCTTCAGAATAGTGGGACAGTTGATTCATCTACTTCAGATGGATATGCAGATGATATTGAAGCAGAAGCAAACTCTTACTTCCATCAAATGTTTTCGGATCAGTTAACCATTAATGCAATGGTACAAATGCTTGCTCGATTCAAAGAATCTTCAGTGAAGAGGTGATAATTTTTTATTCATCTGGCCAATCTGTTTCTTTTAATAATATTCTAGTGCTGCATTATTTTTGGAGTTCTAATCCAAAACAATAAAATAGAACTTGCTGTATCCAGGTTTTTGATGCTCACTCTGTTAGTTCTGCCTCCTAAAACCTTGCCTTATGTAGAAAACTAAACTTTCATGCACAAACACAAAATTGTATGTTTTTATACCTTGATATCAAAATCTATTAGTCCATTTTGATCATTCCAAATTTAATTCCGAATCTGATCCTCCATATAATAAAAATCCAATCAAATCCATTTGTGATATTTTTTTCGTTGATGGATAACCAATACATCCATAAAATTATTATTCTAAAACAATTTAAAATAAAATTTTAAAATTATATGATTTTATAAATTTCAGAAAGAAATTGTAACACATTAAAAATTTATTCATGAAAACCCTTTAAAAGTGTAAATTTAAGAAAAAATTTAATTATAAAAAAAGTGGTTGGATATTTTATTTGTTAAGTATTTATAGGAGGATCCATTAGATTGAGTAATAATGAATGCATCATTGATCACCTTAAAATTAAATGGATGGATTTGATCCAATCCATTTTTTTAATGTTTTTGTAATGGATGGATTAGATGAATGTAGTTGTGGGTGGACTGGATCAATGATGTATAAATGGATCGCTTTAAGTTGCTTGGTAGGTAAAGTTGAGTACTAAAATCCTGTCTTTGTTGGAGTTAACAGGGAGAAATCAATTTTTGAATGCATGATTGCAAACTTGTTTGAGGAGTATAGATTTTTTCCAAAGTATCCTGAAAGGCAACTCAAAATTGCTGCAGTTCTCTTTGGTAAGTTTCTCTTTTGGTATTGCAGGTGATGAAATTTAACTTAATTTCAACTAGACAACTTTAGTTCTGAATCGGTAAATTTCAAATTATGTTAATGTTCATCATGTAAGAATAAGACAGCAATACTGCATTTAGATGATAATGTATTTTAGTAATTCCTTTTGCTGACAAAATTGACTGGGGCAAGTTGAATCTGAGACAATACTAGTTACATGCACTGTTAAGATATATTCGCGCAGAATTTTTGAGTCTAACTTGTAAACATGCTATCCCAATATATAAACATCTCTTGCATGTAGTGCATACAAATTATGAGGATTTCTTCATCACACTGGTGTACATTATGAAACTTATGTTTTTGAGTGTGCACACTGCTTGCTTTAGCTAACATTATGCATATTCTTCGATGCTGCTTTTTTCCATTATTTTACAATGCATTTTTGTTTTATCTCATGTTCCAGGTTCTGTTATTAAGCATCAGCTTGTAACTCATCTATCTTTGGGGATTGCGCTTCGTTATGTCCTTGATGCATTGCGCAAGCCCGCAGATTCAAAAGTTTGTGTTGTTTTGAATAGTGAATTTCTTTGAATTTTTCATTTGATATCAGGGTTGATGTTGCATTTGTATGTTACAGATGTTTTTATTTGGAAGTCTGGCATTGGAGCAGTTTGTGGATCGCCTTATAGAGTGGCCTCAGTATTGCAACCATATTCTTCAAATTTCCCACTTGCGCAATACACATTCAGAAATAGTTGCTTTCATTGAGCAGGCTCTAGCCAGGATTTCCTCTGGTCATGCAGATGTTGATGGGGCAAGTCATACTTCTGTTATTAGTAACCATCATTCTGCACAGGCTACATTAGGTCATGTAGAGGTAAAAAAATCTGTATATTATTTGTGTTTTTCTTGTATGTTGTTTTCTAACTTATTGCTCAGATTTAAGATTTTGATTTTAATTTTACCTTAGGCAGTGCAGTTGCGCATGGATAGTCAGTTATAATTTAATTTTATACCTTTTTAATGACATTGTTGAAAGTCCCACATCGCTTACCTCATGTCATTTGGTATGGTTTAAATACATGTTAGGCTACTCCACATATTGCCAATTGATTTTATGTTAGAACCTTAACATGGTATCAGAGCCAAAGCCTAACATCTTTCCGATTATTGTTATGGGCCAAAAGTTGTCCTTTAGTTGGGTCAAAAGTACTTTTTGCCTGGTCCGGTAGGCTTCGTTGGAGGGGGCGTGTTGAAAGTCCCACATCGCATACCTCATGTCATTTGGTATGGTTTAAATACATATTAGGCTACTCCACATATTGCCAATTGGTTTTATGTTGGAACCTTAATAGACATGTTATATATTTTTACTTTTAGGTTATGGTTTGTTACATATTGTGACCAGTGCCTAAGTCGGTTGTTCTGAACCTACTTTTAGTATAAAGATTATTTATCAATGTACATATGTTCAATATAATTATACTTCTGTTTGTGCTTGATGTATGGTTTTTGGTTAAGTCAGTGTTGTTAACTATCGGCTGTTGTGGGTTTCACCCAAAATGCTATTATGGCAGCCTTGCTTGTCACGAAACTTGTGGAAAGTTCCTTGGGTGAATGAAAATAGGTGGTGAAATTAAAGTAAAAGTTATAGTGTGTTTATAGAGATGAAATAAGGAGATAGAGAGTAAAATGGAAATAGGTGAGAAGTAGAGTGGAAATGTTCTGGTGGGACCTGCAACTTTTAAAATTTATCTACTCAAAATCAATTAGTCCAAACAAACCATCTCTTTTTATCTTCTCCCATCCACCCTATTTCACTCTATCCAAACAAACTATTAGGACTTTGTGTATGCAGAAACAAAATGAGAGGCAAGGTTGCAGTTTGGGCTTGTGGGTCCTGTTGTGCAAATTGGGCTTTGTTTAGAGAATATTTTTAAAATTGGCAAATCACTTACAAATCTTATGTGTTGCAATATACTAATATCATGTGACTTTTTAACCACAAATTTGAGTGCTTTTTTTAGTGTTCTATTTGTTTATTTATTCTATTCAGTTTTTACTGATTGATTTGGGGAACCTTTGAGTATCACTATATCATTTTAATTTATTTCCTCCCCTAAAACTTATTCTTCACTTAATCCTTCTCTCCCAAAACTCAAAACACTCCAACATTTTCCTTCAGTTCAGCAGTGACTGGTTATACAGGTAACGGTGTTCTTTTTAAAATTTGTGTTCCTTCTTTCTTTTTCTTTAATTTTACCCCTTCTCTTATCTTTATCTCTTATTCTATAAAAATATGCCCACTATGTTGTTTTCTCTATGGGACCGTGAAACTATCTGCTATATGATGTAGAGTGTTTTCAGCTTTTCATAATTTTCCACGATTGTGCTATTGATAACATTGTTGATGTTCAGCAATGAAAATAATTTTCTTTATAGAATATGAATAAGGGAATGTACAAGTAGGAGGTATCCTTTAAAGCATCAAGTTTAAATATTAGTAACATGGAAATGGCCTGTGGTGGGAAACTCAGCTTTGGCTGGTAGAAGATACAATACATAATTTGTTGTGCGTGCCCATTATTAATCAGGAGAAAGTAGAAACCACGAGAAAACAAAACCCACAGCATGCATTTTTCTTTTTTATGGGTTGCATAACCGGCACAAGTTTTCAGATCTTGAAATTTGAAATACTTTGACATTTCTAGTAATCCCAGAAACACTCCAGCCAAGAACATACTCTCCTAGATTTGAATTGGAGTGGAAAGATGACAGTTATGACTGTTGTAACTGTCATGTTGACACTTAATAACTGTCTAACAGAAGAGACAGCTGTCAGTAAAACAGAAAGGTACTTAAAAAGAAAAATAAAGAGAATTGATATGCTCTCAAACAAACTGACATTTAAAACTGTTTATCGGAAGAGAAGGCTTTCAGGTTTTGTGCAGACTATTCAATTTTTGTCATTAACTCTTTTGTTTGTATATTTGTATATTCATCATTAGTTTTCTAAGTATATTTGTTGACCATTAGCTTTCCAAGTATATTTGTTTATTCATCATGTCTTTTCAATAGATTAGATGTTGAGTGTTGTGTATTTTCCTTCGGTAACTGATGTTTTCACTTTATTAGACCGTAGTAACAGTATTGTGTATTTCATTCAATAGTGTTGAATATAGGGAAAAACTGTATAGGGTTAATTTCCCTTATGTATTTACCACACATAGGGCAGTGTATTTATAATAAAGAAAGGTACTCCTCAAAAGAGTAACAGAATACAAATAGAGTAAATAAAAAGATATTATTTGATATTGTGATTAACAATATCTAACAATATCTCAACAATATCAAACAATATCAACTAATATCTAATCATATCTAACACTCCCCCTCAAGCTGGAGCATACAAATCGTATGTGCCTAGCTTGGTACAAAGATAATCCATCCTAGGTCCCCGTAAAGACTTAGTGAAAATATCCGCTAATTGATCACATGAGTTAACGAACTCGGTCTTGATGTCTTCGAGACATAATCTTTTCCCGAATAAAATGGCGAGTCAATCTCAATGTGTTTAGTCCTCTCATGAAAGACAGGATTAGAGCTTATATGGAGAGCGACTGATTGTCACACACTAGTGTCATTTGAGTGACATCTCCAAATTGTAGCTCTTTAAGCAATTGCTTGAGCCAAATAAGTTCACAGGTAGCCGAGGCCATAGCTCTATACTCGCTTCTGCACTGGATCTTGCCACAACACTTTGTTTCTTACTTTTCCATGATATCAAGTTACCACCAATGGAAACACAATACCCGGATGTAGATCTTCTATCGAGAGGAGATCCTGCCCAATCGACATCCGAATAGCGAGACAACCCTTGTATGATTATGGGAGTCATACACCAAACCTTTTCCAGGAGACTTTTTGATGTACTTCAATATACGGATGACTCGCATTCCAATGATCTTGACAAGGAGAATTGAGGAATTGACTCACCACACCGATCTGCAAAGGAAATGTCGTGGCGAGTAACTCGTAAGATAATTTAATTTTCCAACTAATCTTCTATACTTGTTCAGGATCCGACATTGGCTCCCCCGATTTGGCAAGAGTTTGGTATTAGGATCCATGAGTGTGTCAACGAGCTTTGAATTCATCAACCCAGTTTCCTCCAAAATATCCAATGCATACTTTCTTTGAGATATAACAATGCCATCGGTAGATTGTGCTACCTCAATACCCAAGAAATATCCGAGTTTGCCAAGATCTTTGGTTTGAAAATGGTGGCAAAGGTGTTGTTTCATCCGAGAGATGCCATGATGGTCACTACCTGTAAGAACAATGTCATCGACATACACTATCAAATAGATACATCCAAGCATTCGAGTGACGGTAAAAGACCGAGTGGTCTCGCCTCACTTCTAGTCATGCCAAATTGTTGAACAACGCCGCTAAATTTTCCAAACCAGGCCCTAGGAGACTGTTTTAGGCCATATAAAGATTTGCGAAGACGACATACCAATCCAGAAGACTCCCCTCGAGCAACAAATCCGGAGGTTGCTCCATATAAATCTCTTCTTGCAAATCGCCATTCAAGAAAGCATTTTTGACATCCGAGTTGATAAAGAGGTCATTGTTGAATAGCGACCATGACAATGAATAAACGAACATAAGCCATCTTTGCCATCGGAGAGAAAGTATCACCATAATCCAACCCAAAAATTTGGGTATAGCCTTTGGCTACAAGGCGAGCTTTGAGGCGATCAATAGTACCATCAGGACCAACCTTGATAGCGAAGACCCACCCGCAACCAACAACAGATTTTCCGAGATGGTAATGGGACAAGCGTCCAGGTTCCACTAGTCCGAAGAGCACCGAGTTCATCTAGCATGGCCCGACGCCAACCAGGGTGGGCTAAGGCTTCGAGAGACAAATTTAGGAATAGACACGGAAGAAATAGACGAGAGACAGGTATAAAATGGTGAAGAAATTCGATGATAACTTAAAGCAAGTATAATGTGGAGAAGGATTACGAGTAGAACGCGTACCTTTACGAAGGGCAATAGGAAGGTCGGACTACGTGGACTGAACCGGAGGAGGCGAGTATTTGGCACCGGGAGTGAGTCATGTGGCGTCTGTTGTGGGCGAGGTCTCGCGACTATAAACCCGAAGGGGTGGTGGAGGAGGAGGGGCTAATGGTGGATGGTCCTCAACATAAGGATCAATGAGAACAGGAATGGGAACTGTAGCAGATGGAGACTCGGCAGGTAGGGAAGGGTCCTTAAAGTAAAAGGAAAACTCATTGAAGGTGACATCTGCAGACACAAAATAGCGACTAAGAGAAGGAGAAAAACACTTGTATCCTTTTTGGGATCGAGTAAATCCTAAGAAAACACATTTGTGTGATCGAGGAGATAACTTATCATGACCAGGATCAAAATTGTGGACAAAACAGGTAGACCCAAAAACCTTCGGAGGTAAAGGATGGAGAGTGTCATGAGGAAATAAAATAGAATGGGGAATTTTGTTATCTAAAACCGAAGAGGGCATACGATTAATAAGATAACAGCAAGTAAGAACAAGCATCACCCCAAAAATGTTGAGGAACCTCACCATGAATTAAAAGAGTACGGGTTGTTTCAATAAGGTGTCTATTCTTGCGCTCAACCACCCCATTTTGTTGAGGGGTATAAGCATAGGAAGTTTGATGAAGAATGCCATGAGAAGCCATGAATTGTTTAAACGAGTTTGAAAGATATTCACGACCATTATCACTTCGAAAAGTTTGAATAGAGACACCAAATTGATTTTTAATTTCATGATAAAAGTTTTGGAATATAGAAAACAACTCAGAACGATTTTTCATTAAAAATAACCAAGTACAACGAGAGAAATCATCAATAAAAGTAACAAAATATTGAAAACCTAAATTAGACTTAACACGACTGGGTCCCCAAATGTCGAGTGAACTAAGGCAAAGGGGGATGAAGCACGCTGGGAAACACTACGAGAAAAGGAAGTACGACTATGTTTGCCTAACCGACAGGACTCACACACCAAATTGGACAACTCGGGATAAGCTGGGAACAAGTTGCTCGTAATTTGCGCAGACCGGGGTGACCAAGCCGAGCATGAAGGAGAGAAGGAGACTCCATAACTCGTGCCAACATGTGGAGAAGGTTGAAGATAATAAAGTCCATGTGACTCACATCCAGGTGCCAATCACTCTTTGCGAGCTCCAGTTCCGTAGGGAAACGAAGTCTTGGTAAAAGAGATAATACAATCAAGAGATCAAGTTAGACGGCTAATGGATAATAAGTTAAAGGGGGACCCGGTACATACAAAACATTATCAATGGACAACGAGGGAAAAAGAGTAACCGTTCCAACACCATGAGCTAAAGTTGTAGACCCATTAGCCATTGTAACGGAGGGTAAATTATGAGAAGAAGTGAAAGAGGAAAATAAGGATTTGTTACCAGTGATGTGATCGGTGGCGCCCGAGTCAAGAACCCAAGGGCCAATAGAAGAAGAGTGAGTCGACCGAACAAAAGATGTACCTGTGTGGGCAACGAAGTAGTGGAACCGGAGGGCTTTCGATCCTCATACCATTGAAGAAAATCATTGAAGATAGCAGCATTTGTCTCGAAGGTACAGACGAAGGAGGATCCACAAGCAGAGGATTGTGCGGAAGAATCAGCCTCGAGCAACCGCAGCAGATCGGCGAGGATAACCATGTAAAGCATAACATTTGTCAATTTTGTGGCCTAGTTTGCCACAATGGTCACACTTGATACGCCCTTTGCCTGGCGTGTGAGAGCGATTACGATCATCACGGTGAGAGGCCAAGGTAGATGAATCATTAGAAACTACAGGGGGAATATTGAGAGGTTTACATGGCACCCGCAAAAGGGAGGAACTGGTAGCGGTAAAACTGGGTGTAACAGGGGAACCCAAAATCTGGTCACGAACAGGGGCATATTTATCAGCAAGTCCGTGTAACATCAAAACCATGAAAAACTTTGATCGTTGCTCTAATTCTTGGGCAGGAGTCGAGGCAGGGGGTAATAACTCATTAAATTCATGGAGAAGAGCATGGATCTTACCCACATAATCCGCCACAAGATCCTTATCTCGAGGAGCAATAACATCAAGAAGATTGTAACAAACACCATAAAGACGTTGAGTGTCATTGGTGTATAATAATTTGGCTTGTTCCCAAACGTCATAACATGTGCCATACGATCGAAAAATTTGTTTTAAAGAAGATTGGATGGTATTCTTGAGAACCATACATATATGAGCATCAACTTTCTTCCAACGGACACGATCATTGGAAGGAACATCATCTACCTTGGTAGTAAGATGATCAACATACCCCTGACTCTCAAGCCAAAGTCTAATATCAGATGCCCAAGTTGCATAATTCGTACCATCTAATTTATCAATGGGTAAATTCACATTGACATAATTAGTAAAAACAGATTGCTCAGACCCACCGGAGCTGGCAGAGGTAACTTCAGAATTGGAAGTGGCAGCGGAAGATGCCATGGAGGAAGAGAGAGAAAACCCTAAAATACCAAATAGGTCCGATTGGAGCAGCAAGGACAGATCCAGAGAGAGGAGAAGGAGGCGACGCCGGCGCAAAGATCGGCGGCCTGAACGGCGGCGAGACGCGCCGCCACGCGCGGCGGAACGGGAGAAGGTGGCGCGGCTTCGGGAGGCGCGTGAGGGAGCGTGGCTGCTCCGATGACCGCGAAACTTCCACGGTGGAGGTTGCACGGAGGAGGCGAGCAAAACCCTGTGCTCGGCGGTCCGAACTGCTACTCTGGCGACGGCGGCGGCGGCGGCGGAGGCGACGGCGGCGGCGATGGAGGCGGCGACAGCTGCAGGTTCAGTGGCAGAGCCGAAAAAAAATCCCAAGAGACCTTAAGCTCTTGATACCATGTTGAATATAGGGAAAAATTGTATAGGGTTAATTTCCCTTATGTATTTACCACACATAGGGCAGTGTATTTATAATAAAGAAAGGTACTCCTCAAAAGAGTAACAGAATACAAATAGAGTAAATAAAAAAATATTATTTGATATTGTGATTAACAATATCTAACAATATCTCAACAATATCAACTAATATCTAATCATATCTAACAAATAGTAACTGAAAAACTGTTTTATCATATTATTCATATTATGGGCTATGCTACTTTTCTGAGTAACAGTCATTTGCTCCACTAATGGTGAAAGGTCAGCTACATAACTTTGGGGTGCTCTGTTTCCCATTTATGTGTCAAAATCATTATTATGATCCGTTGGTGTTAATGGTTATTTTGTGGAGACCTATTGCAGTGGTATTTGGGGAAAATGAAACCTGTTATTATTACTTGTCACTTGATAAGGTTATATCATAAAAACAAGATTATGCATAATAGATAAGTTATTTGCTTTTCCTTTCAATTACTTTCTATTTAACTTCTGTTCAGTTAACAGTTTTTTATGCTGTATTCTTGTAGCAGCTCAGTGGCTCCAGTGTCATACAACCTGGGCAGCAACATTTGTCACTGCAGCTTCAACAGAGGCGTGAAAATGCCTTGGATGATCGTCATAAAGCTTCTGTTGGTTCATCTACTGATGTAAAACCACTGTTATCTTCTCTAGGGCAATCTTCAGTACTAACACCTATTGATGCTCCTAGTACCAATAAGGTATTATACTTTTATATTGTTTTTAGAGCATTGTAATATTCTGTATTCTTCTATTTACATACTTGGGTAACAGAAGGCTACTCTACAGTTCAGGTATAGGAGCTGTTAGTTTCTATTGTAACTCTTGGCTGTCGTTTGTTACACATAATCAGTGATATTCTCAAATAATACACTCTGTTTTTTATTTTGCTCTGCTTCAGTTTATCTGTTTCCCAATCTTTATTGTATTTCTCAGGCTCATATTTTTATACTGGGACTTCATTTTGTTACTACATCTGCAGTTACATAGCTCAGTCAGCACCCCGTCAATGCTATCTTCTTCTTCTCCTGGTTTTGTTCGCCCTTCCCGTGCAGCTCCTTCTACCAGTATGTTTTTGCACCTTGTTAATTGTTTGTTCCTGTGTTGATTACCGTGAAGCCATAAATATATCCTTTAATTATGCTTTTATTTTCCAAACATATTTTATGCCCATTTGATATGTGAATCTGATGTGTAGGGTTTGGATCTGCCTTGAACATTGAAACTTTGGTTGCTGCTGCTGAGAAAAGAGAAATTCCTATTGAGGTGCACAATCCTTTTATAATTAATTTATGGAATTGTCTTGCCCTCTTAAGTTTTTTGTCAATAGATTTATTCAGTTGTTTAGATTCTCAATGATTTTACAAGCTTGCTTACAAATGATTTTGAAGTTTTTCATGAATCACCTGGTCCCTGTATTACTTTAATTTCTTAAATGAATTTAAATTGGATTTCTTTTACTTTTGTAATTTAGGCCTCATTTTTTTGCTGCTAACAGGCTCCAGGGTCAGAGGTTCAGGACAAGATATTATTTATAATTAATAATGTTTCTGCTGCTAATATTGAAGCTAAAGCAAAAGAGTTCACTGAAATTTTGAAAGAGCAGTACTATCCTTGGTTTGCACAGTATATGGTTATGAAAAGGTTAGCTTTGATTCATAAGTTACGTCATGTGTCATGTATCATATAATTGCTTAAAAAGTTTCATCCATTTGGATAATGAGAAGGGTACATAGACTGCAGGTAGGTAGTGAGTATAATCAGGGTTTTATGGTGATTAAGTGCAGCAGGGAAGCTTATATGGACTATTGGGGTTAATAAAGAAATTGAAAGAGTAGGTTACCTAAACAGATTTTAAAAACTAAAGAAATTTGGTTTTGGACATGTTCTAAGTCCTGCTTCATGGTGATTAAGTGCAGTAGGGAGGTTTAAATGGGCTGTTGGGGGGTTAATAGTGTAGGGAACTTAATAGATCTTAGAAGATTGAAAATTTGGTTTGTACATGTTCCAAGTTCTGCTTTTACTGCATTGTTAACTAGTATAGTTTTGGTATAAATCTCATGTTGTATTATTGCATCATGAAGAATGTTGAATTCATTGATATTTTCAGTTTACTCTATTTTCTATACAAAATATACTGAACCAAGAGTTCACTGAGTTATTGACTCAGGTTTAACATGGAAATAATGAGTACTAGATGACACAAACAACCCATTGCTAATATTTTCCATCTTTCTCTTGATTCAATTTTAAGAAAGAACTGAATGATAGAAGTTGAGACAAAAGAGGAAGCCTTTGAACTAGGGATCTGAAGGGAGAGACTTGGGGAATTGGAGATGGAGGGCATTTCATGATTTACTTTTGTTCTTTACATATGAATATATATTTTTTTTTTGTTTCAAATCTCTTTTTTTATGGCACATCTTACTATAAAGTATTTATCTTATCAAAATGTTACTTTGATTATTTTCCACTTATACTTATACCAACTGATACTTCCTTCTAGAGCAAGCATTGAGCCAAATTTCCATGACCTGTACCTGAAATTCCTGGATAAAGTTAATTCGAAGGTTTTGAACAAAGAGATTGTTCAGGCAACTTATGAAAATTGCAAGGTTTGATTATTATTTCTGTTCCTTGCTTGATTGAAGTGTAGAGGTGGAAAATGTTTGAAATAATACTGGGTGTTTGCATAATCTTCAGGTTCTTTTAGGATCAGAACTCATAAAATCAAGTTCAGAGGAACGCTCTTTGCTTAAAAATTTGGGTAGCTGGCTCGGAAAGTTAACAATTGGCCGGAATCAGGTTTTGAGGGCTCGTGAAATAGACCCAAAGTCCTTGATTATGGAGGTAATTCCAGTTTAAATATATTTTAGGAGCACATGACATTTCAAGTGATCATTTTCTGATCAAAATATTTTCCATGCTGCAGGCATATGAGAAGGGGCTAATGATTGCTGTCATTCCATTTACATCAAAGGTATAATTTTTTATTGTGATTATTTGTTGCTGGTTATATTCAGTAGCTTGCTTCAATTTCATTCAATTTCATGTTATAGGTCCTTGAACCATGCCAAAGTAGTCTTGCTTACCAACCTCCTAATCCTTGGACTATGGGCATTTTGGGATTGCTTGTTGAGATTTATTCAATGCCAAACTTGAAAATGAACCTCAAGTTTGACATAGAGGTCAGTTTCTTTTTTGTTTCCTTATGTTGGCATAATTTTGTCGCTCATCCACCTATTTATTGGAATAATTTTCATATGCAGGTGTTATTTAAAAATCTTGGTGTTGATTTGAAGGATGTCACACCAACATCTCTTCTGAAGGATAGAAAAAGAGAATTTGAAGGAAATCCTGATTTCTCTAATAAAGATGTTGGAGCATCTCAATCACAACTTATTACTGATATAAAATCTGGTCTTGTACCTCCTGTAAATCAAGTAGAATTACCACTTGAAGTCACCAATCCATCCAATACGGGGGCTCATCCACATATGCTGTCTCAGGTTTGTTATTTCATTATTTCGGTGTTCGGAGATAGTTTCTTTTTGTTTTATAAATATTTCTGTGAATTTTTCTGGGTGGATAGTATGCTGGTCCTCTTCATATGTCCTCGGGTGCATTGATGGAAGATGAAAAGGTAGCACCTCTGGGACTGTCTGATCAACTTCCCTCTGCCCAAGGACTGTTACAAGCAACTCCTTCCCCAGCAGCACCTTTTTCTATTAGCCAGGTTTGTAACCAAAATCCTTTTTTCCTTCCTTGTTGGACTATTTATAGCTTAGTGGCCTATTTACGCATCACTTTTTGGTGCTTCTTGTGTTTACAGCTTCCTACACCGATACCTAATATTGGGACTCATGTTATTATTAATCAAAAGCTCAGTGGTTTTGGTTTGCAAATGCATTTTCAGAGGTACGGTGCTCTCACCATATTGTTCTTTTTGTTTAATTCTCTATGACTTAGTTTCTATTTTTTATTACAGAGCGGTACCCATTGCAATGGATAGAGCTATCAAAGAGATAGTGTCTAGTATCGTGCAGCGTAGTGTTTCCATAGCAACACAAACAACGAAGGAACTTGTTTTAAAGGTTTACATATCATTTAAGCCTTGCTTCTAACTGCTTTATTTTGAAATTCCATTTGTTGTAATTTCTAATCTAATCTTTGTGGACATATCTAGGATGCTATTATATAGAACCTCATGTCTTTTCATTGTGTTAATATCTTTCCAACTGCTTGATGAGTTGTCTATATAAATGTCTTATGTAGTATTTTTTGCTTGGTTTTAATTTATATAATTCATTTGCAGGATTATGCCATGGAATCTGACGAGACACGCATATTAAATGCAGCACACTTAATGGTCGCTAGTCTGGCTGGGAGTTTGGCTCATGTTACATGCAAAGTAATGCCCAATATGATATATATATCCTATTGCTTATATCTTACAAATTTCTTTAGGATTATATTCTTTTGTTTTTTTTTATTTATTTATTTTTTTTTCTATTTTCTTCTGCCTAATGTATCTCAATTTCTAGGAACCCTTAAGGGCATCAATATCTGGTCAACTGAGGACTTCACTTCAGAACTTAAATATTGCTAATGAAATTTTGGAACAAGCTGTGCAACTTGTCACCAATGATAATCTTGATCTAGGTTGTGCAGTCATTGAACAGGCAGCTACTGATAAGGTTAGCTGCTAAATTTCTGTGGTTATAGCTATTTGTGTCAATGCTGGTAATGGTGAAAAATGTGCTTTTGTTGCTTCTTTATTTGGTAATGTAATAATTAATTTTATAAAATTGACACCATAGTTTAGATGTTTCTATTGTTTAATTACTGAAGTATATTATTATATACATATATCTGAACTAGCAATTGGTCACCTCTGTAAAACTTTTGGGTTTGTAAGAATTAGTACATATCACGTTGTGTCCATCCTCGTTTGTGGTTATTTGGTTACTGTCTGAACGCTTTCTGCATTATAATTAACTGATGAAACATAAAGGGAATGGAGTAAAAGTACCTCCATAGATCACACTTTATTTTGGTTCTTTGAGTGTATTTAAATGTACTAAACCAAGGAAAAAGTTGCATGGCTGGAAAAGTATGATTGTGAACAGTAAACAAACAGGCACAATATCAATATACATTATGTAGGTTATATTTTTCTTTTGATATATAGTATTTTCTGTTTGGATCTATCTAGCTTGTTTAATTCCTTTACTGAAGGAAAAATAATATTTCATGGGTTTAATTCTGTTATAATTTTATACATTGTTTTTGTTGTAACCTTAGTTCTGTTCAATGATTTTTAACCTTAGCAAGTCACTCTTTAATATAATTTACTGGCTTGTTGTGTTTGCTATTATCTACTATTTTATAGGCAATAAACACCATTGATACAGAGATTGGTCAACAACTTTCTTTGAGAAGGAAGCATCGAGAAGGTATGGGGTCTACATTTTTTGATGCAAATTTGTATCCACAAGGTTCAATGGGTGGTGTTCCCGAGCCTCTTCGTCCCAAGCCTGGACAGTTGTCCCTTTCACAACAGCGTGTCTATGAGGTAATCATTTGGCTTTTGTTTGATATTTACTGGGATTTGTCACTGAGGATAACACTATGATGTTCAATTTTTTTCATATATATTAGGACTTTGTTCGGCTTCCCTGGCAAAACCAGTCTAGCCAGAGCTCACATTCTATGTCTGCTGGGGTTTCTGTTCAATCTGGCAATACTGGTCTTCCTAGCACCAATGGTTCTCTATCAGGTCAGGTTAACTCTGGTTACCCTGTGAGCACAGGATATGAAGGAGTATCCCGACCATTAGAAGATATGACGGAGTCTAGTTTGGCTCCACATTTTAGGTCCCTACTTTTTATTTGCTAAATGGTTGTGTCTTTCATTTCAGTCTTTCACGGGTTTATAAATCTAATTTTATTCACAATACACATTTAATGTTTCAGTGGTTCCTCTATTCACCTTAGAGCATCATCTGATAGTGTTTCCCAGCATAGTTTGGAGAAAGAGTCTGTTGCTTCATTTCCTTCAGCTGCTTCAACCCCTGAATTGCATGCTGTGGATTCAGCTGAAGTGAAAGTGAGAATTTTAAATAAACGTCATTATTGCTTCTAACATGTCATTAGTGTCTAAATTGTTTCTGATTTATGGCTAGGAATCTGGAACTTCTTCACAGCCACTAGTTACATCAGGTGCTGTAGAGCGCCTTGGAAGTAGTTTCTTGGAGCCTTCTCTTTCTACTAGAGATGCCCTAGATAAGTTCCAAATTGTTGCACAAAAGGTTTGTACTAATCTTTCTTGGAGCCTTCTCTCTTTTCAGATTATGATTTTTGTCTTTGTGTATCCCATTGGAGAAGGTTAATATAGCCAAATACATTTTATTTCTATATAATTTTAGAAATGAGTGTTAAATGTTGCTCCATTTCATGGAGACTGGCTCATTAATTTCTACCCAGGCTTCCTTTTGGTATTTAGGATGTGTTTGAATTTGGATGGTTGTCATATACATCGTGCTCTGGTACAAAGCATACCAATTGGAGAAGTTTCATAACATTGTGTGTGATTTCATGTGATTTAATTGTGCGGTGAATTGATGCAATGTTGGTTTCATGTGATTGCTTTCACATTCTGTTATCTTTCTATGATTAAATACAAAATGCAAGGAATAAGCTTTTCTTCAGGATATACTTTTAAAATAATAACTTACGTTGTTATTTTTTCATTTTTGTTTTGTCTTTTTATTCATCTTTGATAAAGCTACAAATTTTCATGCAGAAGTGTCGTAAAAGAATATTTGAAACAGGACCACCCATTGTGCCATGGGTTCTTGACTATTTTATTTGATTATTATAATGCAATGTTTGTTTTGGGTGTTTATTGACTTCCTTTATGTCATCGGTTTCAGTTGGAAGCTATGGTCAGCAATGATTCCAGAGATGCAGAAATACAGGTATTTTACTGTGGTTCACATTTGAGTAATACAGTCTATACTGTTGTGCCTAATATAAGATACAACTATTAATATATTTTTCTTTTTACCTTCATAATTTCTTTTTCCACATGTTTTAATATCTATTTTGGGTTCTTATGTGTAGGGTGTCGTTTCTGAGGTCCCTGAGATCATACTTAGATGTGTTAGTCGAGATGAGGCAGCTTTAGCTGTGGCTCAAAAGGTACAATTTCCTCTGCTGCAATTTTTAATAATCGGGAATTTTACTGAACATCTAATGCTGTGTGTCTTATCATAAGTTGATTACATGAATAATTTCATACTTATTGTCTGTCTCATGTCTGACACTTCAACTTTTAATTGATGGGATTAACAATTGTTGTTTTTTAAACAGGTTTTCAAGGGTTTGTATGATAATGCATCAAACAACATCCATGTTTCTGCTCATCTTTCAATCCTGACTGCCATTCGTGATGTTTGCAAGCTTGCGGTGAAGGAGCTGACTAGTTGGGTATGTTTTGTTGAACTGACAAAAGTTGGCATGAGTTGAATGTTCTTTATATTGTTAGAATTTAATTTGTCTTTTTTGTTTTTTTAATTTACCTTTTGTAATATGTTCTGTATACTTGTAATTTTTTTAATAAAATTTCATATTATGAATCAAATATTGGTGTTCTTATTCTTAAATTTGACTATGAGAAACAGTAAATGATTGTTACAAAAGATATTTCTTATTTTCCCTAAAACTAACACCCTCCTGTCTTATGTATAAAACAATTAATTAATTCATCACGGCCAGTTAAAGTTGTCAAGCTAGTTAAGTTTAATTAATAATGTCATAAATTTATTTTTTATTCCAATATCCATAAAATTCAACGATTTAAGTAAGTGATTATATTTTAATAACAACTAATATTCCAGCAGTCACACTTGCTCATGATTTGTTTGTAATTTGTTTCCTATACTCCTTTCAGGTAATTTATTCGGAAGAAGAAAGGAAATATAACAAAGAAATTACTGTTGGCCTCATCCGTAGTGAATTGCTAAATCTTACTGAGTACAATGTTCATATGGCAAAACTTATTGATGGAGGAAGGAACAGTATGTCTAAAGAAAATATTTTTGTGTGGCTTTACTTTCCTTTTTTATTATTATAATAAAGAAACTTACTGGATGAATATGCAGAGGCTGCAACGGAATTTTGCATTTCCCTTCTTCAAACCCTGGTTATCGAGGAACCCAAAGTTATTTCAGAACTTCACAATCTTGTTGATGCTTTGTCAAAGGTTTGTATTGTACATGAGTCTGCATTCCTTAACATGCCCTCAATTCCTAACAATATTTTATTTTTCAGCTTGCTACTAAGCCTGGATGCCCTGAACCATTACCACAGCTTCTTGAAATGATCAAGAATCCTGGTTCTCTATCCTCTAGCAATGCTGGAAAGGAGGATAAGGCAAGACAATCAAGAGACATTAAGGTCACAAGAGCAATGTGGTTCAGCTTCCACTATTGTTCATGCACTTTTTTGTCTTCTCTTCTGGATTATAACCTGTTGTTGCTTTTGACTTTCCTGAAATGTGGTATTTTTTGTCTCCTTGTGAAAAAAAACAGGGTCCTGGAATGCTACCTGCAAACAGAGAAGAGTTCAACAGTGTGGATTCTATTGAACCAGATCCTGCTGGGTTCCGGGAGCAGGTATCTTGACCTTGAAATTGATAGATAAGCTTGAATTTTGTTGCTTGACTCTTTGGCACAAATTGTTTTAGATACTGACATAACTGCTTTACAATATGATTGTAAAAGCAAGTTATACTTTCGATGCCTTTTGCCACTCTTATTGTAATGTTTTATCCAATATTTCATTTCCTTTAGATGGGTATGATTGAGTAGAATAATTTATGTCTGAGTTAAGTACTCCTTAAAATTGATCTCAAAAGTATGATTATTTCGTTTCTTTAGTGTCTCCCATAAGTTTTGGAAATTAAGAGATTGAGTTCTGTATTTTTGGCTGTTTGGATAAACAGCTTAATAAAGTGCTTATGTTTTAGTCACTTTTATAATTGAATTAAAAATAAAATTTTGCATAAGCTATTTTGAGGTGCTTATTGAAATAATGAAAACAATTTATAGACATATCATAAGCTCTCCCACAAATCTACACAACTTCTTATTTTGTAATACAAGTCCACATAAGGCTATGCAAAATTAATTGATAGCTTTACTGGCTCTTCATAGGCTTAGGAATTGTCATTTGGAAGGAAACCTGAAATTTGATACTATTGTTTTTCATAATAAGAAACATAATATATTTTGCAAGTTATGGCTCTTCTGCTATTATAAGAGCAAACCTGCTCTGAATGCTGAGTATATTGCAATGTAGTTTCAGAACTTGATTAGGATTTTTATCTTTATTCCTGGCTTTTTATTTTTCCTGTGTTTAGCCAAAGGATATTAGCGTCAAATCTTCAATTATCTCTATGTTTGATCAGAAACAAAAATTGAATTTCTAATAATTACTAATTTTATGCACAAATTGTAGGTTTCCATTTTGTTTACAGAATGGTATAGGATATGTGAACTTCCTGGTGCCAACGATACAGCCTCTGCCCACTTCATCTTACAATTGCATCAGAATGGGTTGCTGAAGGGGGATGATCTGACAGATCGATTTTTCCGACTATTACTGGTTGCTTATCTTTTCTTCATGCTGGTTATTCTTTTCTACTGATGATCAGGATTGTCAGTTTAACCTCTTTCCTTGTTCTCTTTCCCCAGGAGCTTGCTGTTGCGCATTGCTTATCCACTGAGATGATTAATTCAGGGTCACTGCAATCCCAACAGCCGCAGGCAATGTCATTTCTTGCAATTGATATTTATGCAAAGCTTGTCTTCTCAATCTTGAAGGTTGTCAACTGTATATCTTTTTCCTTTCTCATTTATTTTGGGTAGCTTTAGCATCTTAGCTGTTTGTTGGTTGTTGAAACAGGGATCAAACAAACCCTTTCTTCTTTCCAAGGTGTGTAATAAACTAAAATTTTGATGCAGTCTCTTTCTCGGGGTGTTAGCAAGTATATAACTGTAATATAATACTTCCCATTGCTTTATGATAGATTCTGGCAGTTGCTGTTAGATTCATTATAAAAGATGCTGAGGAGAAGAAGGCATCTTTTAATCCTAGACCACTTTTCAGATTATTCATCAACTGGCTTCTAGATCTTGGTTCTCTTGAGCCTGTTACTGATGGTGCAAATCTCCAGGTGTTTGTCTCTTTCATTTACTTCTTCAATAGTTTATTTATTTGTTTATTTTTTGGGTACAAAAGCGGGTTCAAACTGTTAATTCCCATTTAAATTGTTAATACTTGTTTTACGAATCTGAACCTGTCAAATTTTATCAGTAGCTGGTTATTGTTTTGTTTGTTTTGCCCACGCATTTCAAACCCCTTTCCAGTAACAGGCATGCGTGTACGACTAATGCAACTTCATCTATTTCAGATTTTGACTGCCTTTGCCAATGCATTTCATGCATTGCAACCGCTGAAAGTTCCTGCATTCAGGTCAGGAATGCCTTCGTGTGATTCATTGTTGGCTGTATTTTGGTTTGAGTTTAAGGATAATGGTGTAATGGCATACTACTTTATTGAGATGTTGACTTGTCAACTGTTTGTGTTCTGCTATCATGGAATTGTTGATATTACTGGATTCATATAAGAAACCAAATTCCGTTTTTTTTGGTGTGGAGAGATGTAAACATTGTTGATTAGGGATTATGTACATCTAGTATACCTTACAAGATATTGCTTGCTAGAGATGTCCCTTTTGATTAGCGATTATGTACTTGTTGATTAGGGATTATGTATAGTGTGGAGAGATGTAAACATTGTTGTTGATTAGTGTATCTTTTGCTAGATGACCCTGTAGAGACTTTTAAGAAGTTTCGGTCTTGATGGCTTATATGGAGGACTTTTAATAATAGAATTTGGAACTTTTTTGCATTTATGTTATGATGCAAAATGATAACACATTATCATTTTAGTAAGTAGATTTGCCATTTTATCATAGCTTTAGGTCATGGTATGGAGGTATGTAAAGAGTTTGACCTTCAAGCTTATGTTAAGTACAACTAATATTTGTTTACAACTAATTTTATTTTGTTTCTTCAGTTTTGCATGGCTTGAGCTGGTTAGTCACAGGAGCTTCATGCCTAAAATGTTGACTGGTAATGGTCAAAAAGGTTGGCCTTATATCCAAAGGTTGCTTGTAGACCTGTTCCAATTTATGGAGCCTTTTCTGAGGCATGCTGAACTTGGAGACCCAGTTTGTTTCTATCTCTGCCTCAATTATTTTCTTTTATTAGAAATTCTAAGAAATTTCTGATATCTTTTTAGATAAAAAATATATTATCTGATAATTCTTTGGTTTTCTAACAGCTTCTATGCACAATAATGCTTCTTACATCTACACTTTTAAAAAATTGTGATCAGGTTCGTGTCCTCTACAAAGGAACACTTAGAGTGCTCTTAGTGCTACTTCATGACTTCCCGGAGTTTCTATGTGACTATCACTTTACCTTTTGTGACGTTATTCCCCCAAGTTGCATACAGATGAGGAATATCATTCTAAGTGCATTTCCGCGTAGTATGAGGCTGCCCGATCCATCTACTCCCAATCTGAAGGTCTTAGAATTTCCTAGTTCCCTTTAAACCTTTTGTTAAGGTTAAGGAGCATTAAGTTGATGTTACTGCCTTGTGCTTCTTTATGCAGATTGATTTACTTCAAGAAATAACCCAATCACCCCGCATTCTTTCTGAGGTTGATGCTGCGCTTAAAGCAAAGCAGATGAAGGCTGATGTAGATGAATACCTTAAGGTCTGACCTTCCTCTTTGATTTGTTTTGTTGTCAATGGATGGTTTGCTGTGTTCTATCTAATTCAGTAGCTTGATTATGTTTGATGCATTTGTTGCTTGTCTATTATTTATGAATTCGCTTTGTTGAAGATTTTCTACCTTTTATTTAATTATTTAAGTCCAGTATATTTTGTTCTCAGCCACTGCTACATATTGCCTTGCTTAGCTTATTTATTTCTATATTTTTTTCCCTACACTTATTTACAAGTGTTCAATAATTTTTTCTGCAGACAAGGCAACAGAGTTCTCCATTTTTATCTGAACTTAAGGATAAGATGCTTCTCTCACCCAATGAAGCTGCCTCTGCTGGGACTCGATACAATGTGCCGTTAATCAACTCACTTGTGCTATATGTTGGAATGCAGGTACTTTAATGGGAAACTTATATTTAGATTTGCCTCTGCATCAATTAGATAGCGGAGTTTCAAGGTTTCTGAAGTATTGTTTTGAGCATGCTAGAGCATATTTATAACCAGAGTGCAAAGATCTAAATAATATATGTTTTGGTATAGCTAGTTACTAACAATCTGTTATGTTTTGGTATAATAGGCAATCCATCAGCTTCAGGGACGTACTCCCCATACGCAATCTTCAGCTAATGCATTCCCCTTAGCCGTATTTTCTGTTGGTGCTGCATTGGATATTTTCCAGACACTCATTGTAGATCTAGACACTGAAGGACGATATCTTTTCCTAAATGCTATTGCCAACCAACTGCGTTATCCTAATACCAATACACACTACTTTTCCTTCATCCTTCTTTACTTGTTTGCTGAATCAAACCAGGTAAATCTAAACATATGCCATGTTTTTTAATTTTAGCTAAATCAAACATATTTTCAATTATTATTTAACTGTATATTCATGTTTTGACATTGCAGGAAGTTATCCAAGAACAAATTACTAGAGTCTTGTTAGAACGCCTAATTGTTAACCGTCCTCATCCCTGGGGCCTCCTCATTACCTTCATTGAACTTATCAAGGTATATTTATATTCTTTCGTTGCTTGTATGATTTTCCTTGTATATTGGCACATATTAAAGCTTATTAACCTTATCTCTTTGTAATTGTTTCTTGTCGTTTGCCAGAATCCTAGGTATAACTTCTGGAACCGGAGTTTCATCAGATGTGCGCCGGAGATCGAAAAGCTTTTTGAATCCGTGTCAAGATCTTGTGGAGGTCCAAAACCAGTGGATGATAGCATGGTGGTGTCCGGTTGGGTCTGATCTGAGTGTTCATGTAGTCTTTGATTCTTGTTAGTTTGTGTAGGTTAGCTAGCTAACCCTAACCATGTTAGTTAGGACTATTTCATTGTATATTATGATGTTTTAGTGAATTTCTCTTCTAACTGCCTACTTCTTTACACTGCCCCATCACTCATCACTCTTATAGGTCTTCAACCATTTTATGATTAATCTACCTATTATAACTATAATTGTTTAAAAATGTTACATATCTCTTTAAATTTCGCATAGATTAAGATTAAAAATGTTACCTATTATATAACAAATTATGTTTCATTTATTTTTATAACTTATGCATAAATTATTTTTTCATATATATATATATATACATATAAATATATATATACATATATATATATATATACATATATATATATACATATATATATATATATATATATATATATATATATATATACAAGTATTCATTTTTAGGCTTATTTATGTTTAGTTCCTGAAATTTAGAGTAACTTTTATTTTAATTTTAAATTAAAATTGTTTTCGTATTTTGAAATTGAAAAAAATATAATTTAGCTTTTAGAAAAAATGGAGAGATTAACATAATTTTTCTAATTTTTTTTTATTTAGTTTTCCAAATTTACTGTTTTGAAATTAAAGTTGTATTATTATATTAAAGGGGATAAATTAAATGTTTTACTTAAGATATTAAAAAAATTATTTAACTCAATTTGTAGGGACTAGATATATAATTAAATTTATTTTTCAAATGACAATTTATTGTTTGAATTTAAAATTACTTACTGTGTGCGAGTTGTTTATTTCAAAGAAGAAATTGGATCCAACCAAACTATATTATCTACCATGCCGTAAAAATTTCGTCTATTTTGGTTTTATTGTTTTCTAATTGTTTTTAATTATGTAAAGTGAATTTTAATAATTCTTTGGGGCAGATAAGCACAGGACAGAAGAAAAGTTAGAATCGAAAGGCATAGGGTGTGTTGGGTTGAGAAAATGATTAATGAGTAATATTGGATGAAAAAATTTAATTTTGATGTATGATGAAAGAGAAATAATTTTAAATTACAGGATTACTATTTTTCATTTTATTTTCCATCTTTTTCCGCTCTATCTACTCATTTCTCTCCTTTTCACCAATATATTAGGCATATGCATGTAGATCCAAACTAATAAACAATCACATTAGAGAAGAATATTTAAATATAACATAAACACTTTGTATAATTATATACATGTTTATACAAATTACAGCATATATTTCTATAAATAAAGGACATGTGATAAAAGAAGATAATATAAATAAAAGTGAATGTTATAATAAAGCAACCATGTATACTTACGAAAAAAAAAATGAAAAAGAAGAGGAGAGTCTCTGATGAACCAGAAACTTTGGGAACCTCACCGGACATGATTCAACTAATTTGTTAAATGGAGAAGAAACAGTTCGTATTACAAAAAGGGGTTGAAGAAGCTCTAAAACTATCTCCCTCATCCTCCAACCCTTCTCAAGATATCTTAGTGGAAACATTTTGGAACTTGAGCATGCCATGAGTGTGGCATCTTTAGCTTTTTGGGCAAAGGAATTTGCACACATAAAAGTTTCCTAATGTGTTGTGTGTCCTGAACAAATAAAGGGAAAATGATCTGAAAAGTGTCACAATATCACTTATTTCAACTTCACCATAAGCATATATAAACTGTATCCAATCATTTTACACACAATGAGCAACAAAGCTCTGGTTGGAAGGGACAATCTGCATTAATGCTGCATGGATTTAACGTCGTAATGGAATGTGTGAACCCCAAGAAATTTCTGAAGGGGAGTGAGTCTCAGATGTTTGCATCTGTTGAAATTTTTTCATTGTTGATCGTCTCAAGTTCATCTTTTGCTTCTCTGCCTTTTCCCTCACTAGGCATATTTTCTTTTGAGTCCTCACTGAGGCCTTAAATTGTTTCCTCTCCAGATCATTCTGCAATCACAGGAGAGTAAAGATTCATGAAAATAAAAAGAGGGTACATTGAAGACATGTATTTTGCTCAAGGGCCTACTTGTGTTTCTAATGTGGCATAAAGTGATATAAGAGCTATTTGGAGAAACTTCGTAGCATTTGAGCGTTGATGTACACAATCCAATGTAGAAGAAGCGGTTAGATGTTGCAAAATTAGTGTGCTTTGTTTCTCTACCATATTAAGGGTATGATCTGTGTACAATCTACATATTTAAATGTAATATAGATGGAATAAGCTTACATGCCTGAATTTTATCCATCTTGTCCATAGCTTTTCTTGTTTGCTGCAACTCCCAATCATTTATAGCGTGTTCCTTTTTTCTCATTCTATCAACAAATTTATCATAAGAACTTGCCTTGTTACTGTCTCAACGACAATCACAAACAAAAGTAAGAGGTTTCAAAATTTTCTTCTTTGTTCTTACTCACTTGAGCATAAGTTCAACATGCTTGGTCTTATGAGCATCTCTTTCTGCTTCCTGTTTCCTCCTCCTGACATCATCGAAAAATTCATCATATGGTCCCAATAGTCTTGTGCGTTCATAGCCTCTACACTTGGCGGTTCTGTGTGTGCAGGTAAGGCAGGTCTGTCCCTTGGAAACAGGACTCTCTTCTCTAACACAGGGTATTGTTATGTTGTGAAGTTCACGATGTTCTGGAGCCACAAGGTAGCTGTTACACATTGCTGAGAGTCTCGAGTCTTCTTCTTCCTTGCTTCCATTTTGCTCCGAATGAACAGATTCTGATGAAAACATTAAATACGCATTATTAGTAGTATTTAGTCTGTGTTTAGGCAAACTTTTGCAAATTGGATTTTGTAAAATTAATTTGAAGGTGATTTGTGATAATTTTTAGTCTACAACCACCAAGGTAGTAATCAAACTTGGTATAAATTTCTGTGCCTATAATCAATTTCTTAAAAGTGAAACTTAATATGTAAATATTTATGTGAAATCAGATATTTCAACTTAAACACACTATTAGAAAGTAGACATGAGATCTCATGACAAACCTGTATGATGGTTTGACGATCTGCAGAACTTATTAGCATGTTCCAGCCATTCATCAATATCTGATAGGCAAGTGGAGTACTTGGTGTCGTCATTGTCAATATTGTAGGCCATGCCAAGGTTCTGTTATTCCAGAAAAACCAATAGGGTAGATTGGAGTGAGTCCATTATTTTTGTTCAATGATAACATAAAGGAAACCAGTCAACAACATACATCATGGTGAATCAAGAAAATTTGTATAAATGACATGAAAAATGGCAAACATTTTCAAGAACCCAGAAAAGAAATAGTTAGAAAGAATCAAAAGGAATATGCAAAGAAAACTAAAGTGAGTGATAACAAAGGAGAAAGTGATTATTATATGAAAGATTCATTGGAAGATGAGGCAAAGAAGGAGTTTCTTGAAGGGATGGTAATTGTACGGACGTGGTCTCTTGGAGTGGAGAACTCATTGGCATGGTGTGAGTAGTATGTTGTGTGTGAATGAAGAGAGTGGTTTTTGTTGGGAGGAAGTATGGTTGAGGCGTGGCTGCAAATGGTGGAGGGAGATTCTTGCAATGCAGTCATGAGGGAACTCATGCTCCATGCAGAGTTTTTGAAGCTTCTTGCTAAACGAGAAGATGACTCAGAGTTTTTGGAGCAAAAATTGGACATGTTGGCTTCCTTGTTTTGCAAGTGTGTGCTGTTTCCTACATTGCCAATGCCAAATAGTCTCCCAAAACTGTCTTTCTATAATTCATGTGTTTTTGAGCGTAGAAAGTAGGTCATGGTTGTTACTTATTTTCTAATGAATAAATAATCAATTTAGTATATACTAATTTCAGAAAATTTTCAATCTTGGAGAACTACTTATTATGAAACTATTTAAGAGAAAAAAGAAAACTTTAGAATGAAACTAAAGATTCATTAGTTTGGAATAGGATAAAACTAACCTTATAATTTTTTTTATCCTTATAAAATTTTATTTCACTATGTGTAGTCTTGGTAAAATTAATAATATTTTTATTTTCATCTTTAAAAAAATTAAAATGATTTTCATTAAGATAAATAAATCACGTATATTTTATAAATCTTGATATTTTGACATTATAAAAGAAACACTAATTTATACTATTTAAGGCACTTATTTTGTCTTTTATTCCACAATAAATAATCAACTACTATTATACAATATTAGAAATAACAAAATTCTAATTTTAGAAGAATCATAAATAAAAAAATAAAGAAAATTAAAAATTTATACTTTTTATGTGGCTAAAATTATATATTTAATATTTTTATTTTTTACATATAATACTATATTTATAATAATGAAAAAATAGTCAATTTAATTTAGTTGCACGTAACCAAAGAGATCAAACCAAGAAATGAGTAAACCATATAAAAAGCGGGCCGGCCCGATCTAGCCGTTTTCGCGGTCTAATCTATCCGGCCGGACCGGTGAACCCATTTTGATTTGTGAATTGTAAGAATCTTGTGCTCTGTGTTTTGTTTGCTTCCATTCCATTCATTTTCATTTGATTCTAAGCTTAGTGCAATGAGTTTGAGGTTTCAATCATTGTTGCGTTTAAACCCTAAAAGCTATCACACTTAAAGTCACCCCGTGCCTCCATCGCTAACTTTCGTCCTAATCCTCACTCGCTACTCCCTCATTCTCCTCCTCGCATTCGCACTTCCTTTCTCGCTTTCGCAGCACCGCTCGAAGAAGATGGCGGAAGAGAGATTGAACCGGAGAAAAACAATAAGAACGATCACCGCTTTGGAGCCGAAGAATCGTGGAAGCAAGCTCTGGACACCTTCCGAGAACAGGCTTCCAAGATTCGAGAAGCTTCACAAGGGGCGTATGACTTGTACTCCGGAAGGCAATTCTCGTGCTGAAGGACGCCACCGAAGAGTTGAGAGTTGCGGCCAAGGAAATCGACGAAGAAGGCAAACAGTATCTCGCCGTAGTTGCTGAGAAATCGCCTGGGGTTAAGGAAATCGTTGAAACATTCACCTCTCCCAATCATGATGTCACCGAAATTTCTTGGTTGCGCGTTTTCTACGTTGGTGTACCTTACGGTACGTAATGTGGATATCCTTTGTAGTCAAATAAAATATTTAAGTTATAGAAAACTATTAGTTATATTTAAGTTTTGCGAAGTCTTTGTTATAGAAAAATGGAAATGAAACAGTTAAATAGTTATATAGAGGACATGCATTGAATGAGTGGTGGAAATAAAAGTGGATTAATCAAATAGGAAAACTTCATAAATTTATTTCAAATTCCTTTCTATTTAAAAATTTAAACTCACATTACTTTTTTTTTTTTTTTTGCCACAAGTATGGGTGAAAAAGTAAAAAAATATGAATAGTTTAATCCTGTGAATCGTATTTATGATAGAAATTACATAGATTTAGTATGATACATAGTCATTTAAGATTCATCTTTTAATATTGAATGGTCAGATAGGCAAAATGTATTGAATTGCAGACAATAAGATTCTGACAACTATGTTTATCAAAATAGTCTATGATAGGTCTATAAATTGTTTGGGCTTACTTTAATCAATTATGTAGTACATAGTACAACTTACAACTGATGATAATTAAACCTAATTTTGTACTTTCTAGAAACAATTTTCTTGTCCTAATTTTTTCCGTGTTTTATCTTTATTTTCTCCATCCATATGTTATTTTCTCCATTTATATGTTAAATTTTTTCATATTTTCTTTCTATTGATCCTGTCAAGATTTGGTATCATAGTCAGAAGCTTTGAAGATTTATCATATTTGGTTTTCTTACAGGGGAAATAATCTTAGAATTAGAATAAAATGAACAATTAAAATGAGTTTGTACTAATAGAAGGGGTGATTCCTGGTTTAGGATTTGTAGTTAGACCACTACATCCAAACCCAACAATAGAACTTACAAAACAAATCATAAAACTTAAAAGAAGATTAACAAAACGTATATCTCAAAAAGATAGACTATTAAGAGAAAATCCAACTAATTATGTTTGGAGTATAGTTTGGTACAAAAGTAATATAAAATATCTAGAAGAAAAACTAAAGGAACTAAGTCACTTTCTTGCTTAGTTTGAACTATTAGTTGTTTAAATTTGTATCTTAACCCTAAGTCCTTGAGTTTAAATGGTCTTTGGATCTCTTAACTCTTCGAAGGAATCTGTGTAGCACTGAGAGATACTCATATGTTGGTCAGCCCTTAGGTCTGGTAGTCCCGGCAGTAAAACCCAGGAAGGGTAGTGAGACCGTTGGTTAGCCAGATAAGTCGAGAAGGCAAAGAGGTGGTCCCATAGCATGGAAACTAGAGAAACAGTGAGAATGTCAAATCTCCTTAGAACTCTAAGTGATTTAAGATTAAGAACACAAAGATAAATAAATAGTAGTTAAAACACCGCAACAAGAAGATTCGTCTTCTTCAGATAATAAAGATAAAGAATTACAAATAGCTAAAATTGAAAACTCTTTACATAATTAGTCAATACCTATAGTAAGAAAATGTAAGGTTTATAAATAACATAAATTTTGGATGTCAAATCAAGATGAAATACATATAGTAGAATATAGCTATCGGGGAACAAAAAATAATAAGATCATAAATGTTTTAGAACAATCAATTTTAGATCAACATATAAAAGATGGATATAATTTTATTCATTTAGAATTAATACAGGTGACAGTAAAACCAAATTATAGAACAGAAGTAAATATCACAATACTAATGTTATTAAGAGATATAAGACTTAAAAAATTTAATAATTTAATAATTGCAATATTAAAAATAATTTACATGATGGACCCGCTTTTTTTAATTGTTATCCAAATTTTTTTATGAATATTAAAAATGATAATAAGTAATGTTATAAAATTATATGTGCAAATTCCTGAAGAAATAGTAGACAAAGAATCTGGCCCGATACAAATAATTTATAGGATTTATTACAAAGTAACTAGAATAGATTATAATTATAAAGCTTTAAGATCTTCACCAAAAGATGAAACTATATTAGTAGAAGTTAATCTTAGAAAGTCATCCGTACAAATTCTAAAAAGATTAAGCCATGAAGAAGTAATAAGTAAAATACGTGAGGAATGGAAATTAGAAAACATTATAGAGGAACTCAAAATTTATAATACTCAGATTCGAGAAATAATTCAAGAAGGAATGGACATAAAACTTAAAATGAATAGATCATCATCTTTAAGAATTAGAGAACCACAAATGATTTATAAAGGACAATCTTCCAAACATTCCGTAGATGAATCTACTGTAAATTTAGATTTAAGAGGATTAAATAATATTACACCTAGGGTTACAAAACCTATATATGAAAAGTCAAGGGGATCAGAATCTCCTCAATACTCCCCAACAAGCATCATAAATATTATGATGGAAAGAGAAGTAATCTTTAAAATAGATAAAAATTGGATTAGACAAAATTTTGAGGCAGAATATAATAAATGAAATAGAGAGTAGTATTTTAAATATTTTACAAAACAACAAACAGAAAAATTTAGAATTTTTTTTATGATTATTTAGAACAACATGAAATAAATTTATATTTCTTTGATTGGTTTTTTAATTATAATCAAGAAAAACATATATATCCTTTAGAAAAAATATCAAATACTTGGAAGACTATTAATAATAAACTAATAATAGTTGAATATCCTCCTCAACAAGGAATTATAATTGTTAGATATTGTTTATATATTATTTGATATTGTTAAGATATTGTTAGATATTGGTAACCACAATAATATCAAACAATATCTTCTGTTTATTCTGTTACTTTCAGTTACTCTTTTAGTTGTATTTCTCTACTATAAATAGACCACCCTATGTGTGATTTATACACAAGGGAAATTAATTCCAAACTATATTTTCTTTATATTCAACATGGTATCGAGCTTAAGGTTATCTTGAATTTTTTTCCGCCTTTTGTCCACCGTTGGAGCCGCCCCACCGCTGCTAGAGCCGCCCCACCGCTGCCGGTAAACCGATCCTCCACATCGAAAAGAATTATCTTTGTCATTGAATTTTATTTGGTAGTGTGAAAGTGCATGTTTAGGAAAGTTCCGGCAAGGAAAGACTTGGTATTTAAGTGTGTCCATTAGTGACCCACCTCTCTTTCCCGGGAACTTACCTAGTGTACTAGTTCACGTTCATCGTCACCGCTGCGCCTGGAGCGATCCACTGGTCTGCCGTTGTCGGAGAATTCGCCGGAGTTTCATTTTTTTTTACCGGTGACATATGATTTTGCTTGTCTCGGTCGGGGTTTGTTCTCCCGCTCTTCATGACTTCTTCCACTATTTCCAATTTTGTTAACGATTCTTTTGTGTTGACATCCCATCGTGATGACCGGGCTCGCCCTCGCAAACAGGAAAAATGGCGTCCTAAGTGTGAACATTGTGGCAAGCTAGGTCACAAGATTAACAAGTGTTATACATTACATGGTCGTTCTCCTCGACCTGCTATAGTTGTTCGGACCAATCTTTCCCCACCTTTATCCGTAGGGGATCTTCCTTCTTCTGTTGCATCCGACATGTCCGCTATGTTCAACAAATTTCTCGAATGGTATAAGGATCAACAGTCTTCTAGTTCCACTATATCTGTCACACATACAAATACATATTTTCGCTGGTCCGACCCAATCATTTTCTCCTGGTCCTTGGGTTTTTGATTCAGGAGCCACTCGATCATATTACTGGTAACAAATCTTTGTTCTCCTCTTTATCCTCTCCTAATCATTTACCTTCGTTACACTTGGCTGATGGCTCTAGAGTATCATCTCATGGTGTTGGAACGGTTAAACTCTTTCCTTCTTTAACCATTGATAATGTTCTTTATGTCCCTGGGTCTCCTTTTAACCTGTTGTCCATCAGTCGTCTAACTCGTTCTCTTGATTGTGTTGTTACTTTTACCAACAATTCTGTGTGTTTACAGGACCGGAGTTCGAAACAGGTGATTGGCACAGGATGTGAGTCTCATGGTCTTTATTATCTCCGTCCCTCTACACATGTTAGTACAGTTATGGAGTCTCCCTCTCTTCTTCATGCTCAGTTAGGTCATCCAAGCCTTGCCAAGTTACAGAAACTTGTCCCTGCCTTGTCTAACTTATCTAGTTTGGCGTGTGAGTCATGTCAATTAGGCAAGCATAGTCGTACTTCCTTTCCTCGTAGTTTCACACGTGGTGCTTCGTCCCCTTTTGTCGTGGTTCACTCTGACATTTGGGGACCTAGCCGCGTTAAGTCTACTTTAGGTTTTCAATACTTTGTTACTTTCATTGATGATTATTCCGGATGCACTTGGTTATTTTTGATGAAAAATCGTTCGAATTATTTCATATCTTTCAAACTTTTTTTAATGAAATTCAAACTCGGTTCGGTGTTTCTATTAGAGTTTTGCGTAGTGATAATGGCCGTGAATATCTTTCTCATTCTTTTAAACAATTCATGGCTTCTCACGGTATTTTGCATCAAACTTCTTGTGCTTATACACCTCAACAAAATGGTGTAGCTGAACGTAAAAATAGACATCTTATTGAAACAACTCGCACACTTTTAATTCATGGAGATGTTCCTCAACATTTTTGGGGTGATGCTCTTCTTACTCGCATGTTATCTCATTAATCGCATGCCTTCTTCGGTTTTAGATAATAAAATACCTCATTCCATTTTATTCCCTCATGAACCACTTCATCCTTTACCTCCGAAAGTTTTCGAGTCTACATGTTTTGTTCATAATTTCAATTTTGGTCTGGACAAGTTTTCTCCTAGATCACATAAATGTGTTTTCTTAGGGTTTACAAGATCACAAAAAGGATACAAATGTTTTTCTCCTTCTCTTAACCGTTATTTTGTGTCAAAAGATGTCACCTTTGATGAGTTGTCTCTTTATTTTAAAAGTCAAACTTCACCTCTGTCTCCATCCAATCTTGTCAACACTCCTAATACATTTAATGTTCCTGTTGTTTGTGACCCTCTAATTGTGTCTTCTTCACCATTAGTTTTTGCTCCGCGGTTAGCTTCTTCTCCACTGCCTCTTCGAT